ACAACCTCTGAAAAGATGAGAGGTTACAAAGTGGAAAGGAGTGACCTGGGAACAGGGTGTTTTAAAAAGAGTGGCAGAGCAGAGAATAAAGTCACAAGACTTGTTCACAAGAGGGTGCTGGGTTAAAGCCTGACCTTGAGCCACAAATCACGGAATCACACGGCTGGAAGGAATCTTAAGAGGCCATCTCGTCCACTCCCCCACCATTCAGCAGGACATTTCAACCATCCCAAACAGATGAGACTTTATCCAACTTTGAATGAAAAGCTCTGACACCAAATGGGCAGGTATTGACTGCTCTAGCTTCAACTGTTTACAACGGACCAGAAAACAATTTCTGGAGTTTCATTTGAACCTGAACTGAAATGGGGGAAAAAATAAATGGCCTTATTTTCCTCGGGAACAATAACTTCTGTAGCAGTTTAGGGACTGCTAAATTAGCACTAATTATAAAACTATTCTTTTTTGTTTTGTTTTGTTTTGAGTTGGAGTCTCACTCTGTCGCCTAGACTGGAGTGCAGTGGCCACTTCCGGCCACTGCAGCCTCGACCTGCTGGGCTCCGGCGACCCTTCCGCCTCAGTCTTCCAAGTAGCCAGAATTACAGGCATGCACTACCATGCCCGGCTGATTTTTTTATGTATTGTAGAGATGAGGTCTCGCCAAGTTGCCCAGGCGGGTCTCGAACCCGCGGGCTCAGGCAATCCACTCACCTCAGCCTCCCAAAGGCGCGGGATTACAGGCTGAGCCACCGAGCCCGGCATTATAAAACTATTCTTTAGACAGAGGAAATGGTACTAAAAATTGGGTTAGGGGACAAATGGCCCACAGTGTCATATGGGTAAGAATGTATTGTGATCATCCCTGGTATTTGCCAAGTCTTCACTCCATGCAGGAGCCTGGATCAGAATGACACTAATAAAAACAAAACTTGGTTTTAAAAAAAGCAATATGGTCCAGCAAATTCCAGGACTGACACTGAGGACTTAAAAGAGTTCAATTCCTCTCCTAACATAAGACAATAAATCCTCCGACAAATTGGAAACTGAAAAGGAAATAAAAAGTTCCTTATTTCCAATCGTGGGAATGTTACACATGAACTCTGGTTTGGAAGGGGGAGGGGCGGATATTCCACACCTGCAGGTCTTCCCAGGAAAGGAGCTCAGGTCTGACCCTGAACCCATTCCCTCAAGGTTACACCATGGGACTATCAATATGAAAATAATGTTACTTTATTCCCTTAGTGAGTATATTATTTCCAGTGCTATCAACAGTAACCATAACCTGCAAGGAGGCATCTGAGAATTTCCATGAAAGAAAGTGAAGAGTTATTTTAGGATGTGCTCATAAACAGACTAGCTACAGTTCATCTGGATGGACACATATGCTTATACACACAGAGACAGAGAGAAGTATTTTTGTATTTATAGATACGTATGTTGGAGCATGCTACTGTAGTTTAATAAATACAGTACCAAGCAAGGAGCTTAGGAAAATAACATTACACTCCCAGATTCACCACTGACTTACATATAAACTTGGACAAGTTAACTTGATTCTAACTCACCATCACCAAAACTTTAGGTCGACGATTTAGTCAGGCATTCAGTGAATCCAGATGTTTGGCAATGTATAAAAACAACATCTGGATGATTGACTGCATTTTCAACTGAACTCACCGGATGTTTTGGCAGCATGCCTACAGAACATTTAATGGCTTTCTGCCTCAGTTTCTCTAACTAAGAAAAAAGACGAACAGTATTTATCACTTACCTGCCAGTGAGCAGTGAAAATGAGATCGTATCCAAGGGTTACAATGAGTTCTTGAAAATAATGATTCTATGACAGTACTATATCTTATATAATTCTAAGTTGAAGTTTTTTCTAAGCAGTTAGTCTTTAGAATATGAAATTACTTCAAAATATAGTTCAATGCTATACAAACACAACACATCATCACCATCACAACTTTCTTTTTTTTTTTTTTTTCTGAGTTGGAGTCTCACTCTGTCACCCAGCCTGGAGGGCAGTGGCACGCTCCCGGCCACCACAGCCTCGACCTGCTGGGCTCCGGCGATCCTTCTGCCTCAGCCTTCTGAGTAGCTGGAACTACAGACACGCGCTACCACGCCCGGCTAATTTTTTGATGTATTGTAGAGATGAGGTCTCGCCAAGTTGCCCAGGCGGGTCTCGAACCCGTGGGCTCAGGCAATCCACTCACCTGAGCCTCCCAAAGGCGCGGGATTACAGGCTGAGCCACCAAGCCCGGCTAAGTTTCTTCTTTATGACTTCCCTAAAGGATCTTGCTTTCAGATTGAACCATGGCCAAAACATGAATTTTATTTAAGGTCTGAGAAGATGTATTTTGGCTATGTAAAGCAACACAGAAGATAAAAAAAATAAGTGTGGGTGTTTGGAGCCCAACCAATTTTACAGCTCAACTTTAAACAGGTAAAACTGGTCTATCAATGAGAATTAATTGGTTATTCCATGGTATTTGCATGGAAACAAAATATGTTCACATACTTATTCAGGGCCATAGGCAGGAAAAATGAATTGTGATAATGACCTTTCCTACTCTGACTCTATAATCCTCCCTACCTATGAGCTAGTTTCAGCTTTTGTGGCTGAAAGTTAGAGAAGAAAAGAAGGAAACAGCATGGGAGACAAAAGAAGAGATGCATCAAAGGGATCTGCAACCTTATAAAACTGAGCAAGCAGAATTCTACTGGCAAAAAGTAATGAAACTCCCTTTCAAACTCAAGTTCTGCCTATCATAAAAGTTCTGAACATGATCCTCATAATTGCCATTTATTGTCTATCATACACATGCAATTACCTATATTTGTGTGTGCATAGTATACATACACATACACAAGGAAGCTTTTGATATCTCCATAATACTATAGATGAGAGAGGTAAAGCTTATAGAGGTTAAATGACTTGCCAAGGTTCCATATCTAGTAAGATCTATAACTGAATTCAGATTCATCTGGATCCAAGGCCCATATTCCTTCTACTATACCTGAAGCCTTGGCAAGAGGGCTCATGATAAATATTTTTAGTGACTGCTGGATTATACAGAAGCCCTTGTCTGATACAGTTTTATCTTTTTCTAGAGTGGGATCCACCCACAAGTCTTTGTCTAATCTTTCTAATGACTGTCCTTCCCTTGCTGGTGTTTTCCTACTCAAACCCTACTCATTGCTTATGGCAGATCTTAAGTTTCTTCCCTTGGAATCATCACACTAGCCTAGCCCATCATAGGCCCAAGCATACCACCAGAACTGAGAAGTAGCATTCTTCTTCACGCGCTTCGTCATTGGGGCCCCTTTCTCTTTAACCACTTGCTATGTTCGCGTGTCCCCTCCCAAGGAGGCTGTAAAAACAGAGGAATAGACTTTGAATCCTCTAAGTTCCTAGCACCTGGCTGAGCAAATAGTAGGTATTCCTTAAGGTCTGTTGACCAAAGTGACCTGTTAACAGTGTTTTCCATTTAGGATTAGGGACACAGTAACAGACTCTGAGATTTTGGTCTCACAGTGCTGGGGTCCAACCAGTTGAGTGGAGCCACTCAGACACATTTGGTTTGAGATAATTCAGAGATAATTTGGAAAACAAATACAAGCACATGCCCTCAGTTCAGTAGTAAGAGCTTTACATTGTTTATGCTCTGATCCCTTCAGAGATGCATTTTGAAGTAATCATAGTGTGTCTAATAAGGCTTAATAGAACATGGTGAAGTTGTGCTTTCACAGAAGGAAGGATCAGTTATGTAAACTACCATTATCACATGCTCAGCAGCAGTGACAGCTATTTATTAAGTGCTCCCTGAATGCAGAGCACTTTATTAGGCATTGGGATAGTAACACCCAAGGACATTATCCATACTTTCTTAATACAACTAAAGTGAAATATACTGCTATTAGAAAGCCCTCTAAACTTTTTCTAAGAACCACAAAAATTTCACTGCTAAACTTCATATTAAAAAACAAAATCACGTCAATGTATTTATACAAAAGCCATTACCCTTGCATAAGATTTTCATTTCATTAAGTTCTTCCTAAGCTACAAATAGAAGTCAGTGGTGCCAGGGCCCTCCCATCCATGGATCATGGGGCAGAAACACTGTCACTCTGGCATATGCCTTTTTGGTGGCATTTTTTTTATTGTGACCACAAAGCAATCACAAACAGATGGTACAACTAACTTCTACTTGTGTCTTGTTACTAAATTCCTTACGAGAGGAAAAAACTATGTATATAGGTCAAAGGAATCTGTGGGTGTCTCTGTGCATGGCAGTGAGTCAGAAGCTGGCAAGGATGCAGTGAAACTGGACCTCTCATGTCTTGTTGGTGGAACTGAAAACAGATACATTCTCATTGGAAAGCAATTTGGAAACATGTATTTAAATGCTCATATCCCTTGACCCAATATCTCCAATATTTTTAAGAAAATAAGATCGGGATAGAGCACTATGTATGAAGAGGTAACTTTATTTATGATGGTAAAAAGTTGAAAGCAACCTGTATATCCAGCAAAAGGAAGTTGATTAATCATAATGACTACTCAATGGAATAATATGCAGTCATGATAAATGATTAATATGAAGATGTACAGCAGCATGAAAAGTGTTCCCAATGTATTGCTAATTTTCAGAACGACAAACCACTTGTATACTTCCAATTATGTATAAAGCCTGTGTTATTGTGATTTTCTGGACAAATATTACATGAGAACATGTAAAAATAACAAGTCAGGATAGAGTAGTGGAAATATTTTCCCCTCTATTTTCCAAGTTTTTCTCATATTGCAATATTACCTTTACAATTTAAAAGTAAGGTGAAAAATAAGGGTCAGAAGTCCTTTTTAGCAGAGAGAATCTTTGAAGAAAATAAACAATAGATTCCTCTCCAAAAGTTCAAGAATACAGTTTGAACAACACCAACCATCCATCTCTCATTCTTTTCCCATTTCTACTTTTTGTGGACATACCACATACCTGGTTAATGTGCTTCAGTTTGTCAATAATTTGACTGACCACTGGCTCAGGGCCCTTCATTTTCAGCTCATGGAGGTTAAACTGATTTTTCATTCCATTCCTTGCTGCCTTTTGGCTGTATCTGTAAAAGCAAAGGTAAAGAAAAGGTTTGTCAAAGAAAGTCCCAAGCAAAGTGAAAGCTGATTGCATTTGGCACCAACAGTCAGGCCAACCATAAGCTCTCTCCAGCCTTGCAAACCATGGGATGGCGCCATGGTGCAAATGTAGACTACTCCAGACAGTCTATTTGCAGTGGAAAACATTCATTGAACAGTCAGCAAATATTAATTCAACATTCTTTTTTTTCTAGGTGTTGGGGATACAACAATAAACAAGACAGACGAGGTCTCTACCGTTACTGTGGTCTCAGTTTAGTGGGGCATCTAGAAGAGTAACGGTCAATGACAGGGCAAAATGATAAGACCTATGCTAGAGAAGGGTCAGAGACATGGCCAGTGAAGCACACAAAAAGAACCTTAATTCTGAGTGAGCCTTCTATTCATCTGAAAGAGAACAATTCTTCCATATTTTTTTACCTCCTCCCTCTCTTCTTCCTCCTCCCATCATTTCCTATAAAAGACTTAGAGCTGGAGACTTTCTCAAGCCATAAAAAGCATAAATTATGCCCGCCAGCTTCCTTCTGTGTTCTCTGTGAGAAGAGAGAGCACCAGCTCAAGGAAGGGTTTTAATGTGTTCCTGCAGGATGAGCCATTAGGCTTTACTTCGGAATTGAAGTTTCAAGGTATCTGTGGACATTGCCACCATCATGAGAAGGGGGACTATTTAGAATCCCAGGCAATTCTATCTTTCAGTGTAAGATTTTGCCAACTTCAACAAGGTCAGTAATTTACAACGGAGGTGGTTTCTTTGTTGTACTCATGGTTTCAGACCTCTACATAGAATTATTCCTCATTTTACAAAACAAACCAAATAAACAAGAAACAGATTTCATTTCTTCCTTTCTCTTTCATCATGTGGAAATACCAGAATACCATTACAAAAAAGAGAAAAACGGTTTTGAGTTCTTTTTTCCTCTCCTGATCCTGATAATAGAATGCTTTCTTAAAGAAATGGAAAGATTCACAGGTATTTTGTCCTTTCTTTACATACTTTTTATTCGATTATAATAGGATAGTTAGGGTCAAGGGCAAATTCATATTTTAATTACAAAATAATAATGTTCATTGTAAACAATTCAAACAGTACAGAAATAAACAAGGCATAACAATTTCTCCATCATCTTGTCTTTTTAAGAGAGGACCACAATGAACAGTTTGTAGGGGTTTGCACATACAGATACTAACATGCAATTATATTTTATCTTATTTATTTGGGTTGGAGTCTCACTCTGTCACCCACACTAGAGTGCAGTGGCCGCTCTCGACCACCGCAGCCTCAACCTGCTGGGCTCCGGCGACCCTTCTGCCTCAGCCTTCCAAGT